GGGAAAATTAAGTCACAGCAAGCACAACAGTTATAGTTCAACATTGATCAAAAAGATCAATTTGTAGTTTCATGCCTTTAGCCTGTATCATTGGCAAAGCGAATTAATGCTGTATACCTGTGGGAGAGCTTTTGATGGTGGATTCTGTAGTTCCCTCCTCTCCACAAACTTAACTTTCTGGCTCCATCAATGGTAAATGATGCTATCTCTAAAATCGTCTTCTTTACTTCTTCAATTATTTGTTTCTTTTTAAGTGTCTGGTTAGTTCACGTATTTGGTTTATTTGTGAGAGTATTCATATTATTTGCATCAACTAAATATTTTAACAGGTATTTATCTGATGCACATGAAATAACTGTCAGCAAATATAAGACAGCATCCAAGGCTGTGGCCATCCAAATTTCTGGGTCATGTAGAATCTACAGCATACAAGTGCAAGAAGGGTCAACAAACGGTCTGTACTAATACAAGCAGAGTAACAACTGAAATATGGCTTCGAAATAAGACACTTCGATGGAACAATTAGTATCGCTTGCAAAATTATCTGCTTTGGTGTGCTAAGAGCTAGGAAGAGCTAAATGTGATATGAACAGTGACAGGGATGTTGGGATATTAACTTTAAAAAATCGCTTCAGGGTTAGAGTTAAGAGAGATTTACTGCAAGATATAGTCGGTTATGATCGAATGCTCTATTTAACATTTTGTCACAGAGACGTGACTGCGTGATTTCAACACAGCAAAGCCTAAGTGTGGCTCACTGGCTCACCGCTTAACACTGCTGCTTTTCAGCGCCAGGGACTGGGTTTAATTCCAGTCAAATGATTGTCTGCGTGAAGTCTGCATATTCTCCCCATCTGTTCTTGGGTTTAGACAGAGTCCAAAGTTGTGCAGATGAGGTGGATTGGCCATGGGCTATGGAGAGGGTAGAGGCGTGAGTCTAGTTGGGATGGTCTTCGACAGGCCAATGTGGACTCGAATGGCCTGTTCTTATTGCAAGGATTCTGTTATTCCATTGCAATTCAGGTAAGTAAATGGTCATGCACCCTAGTTACTAGACACGACTTAGGCCAGTATAACAGAGTTAGGATCAAGGGAATGTGGAAAGTCACATCAACAGTGCACCAATAACTGTTGGTGATGTTATAATTCGGGGACCCATTCAAGTGGAGTGAGCAACAGGAATAGTAGTGGTAGTAAGGTTCAATACATTGAATGGAACTGACATCATATTTTGCAGCAAAAAGACAGAAACTATAAGGTTGTGTTGATTAATTTTGCCACTGTTTGGGGCACCTACTCAATGATGGATAGACAGAATGAAGAGCAGATATCAAATGAAGAAGCAATTGAGGATGGGACAACAGACAAGAGAAATGAATGAATGCCTCAAATATTGCTGTAGCAGATATGGGTTTCAGTCCCTGGGCTATGGCGCCAGCACTAGGGTAAGCGGAATTATCCCGTTCTGATAGCCTATATACAATCTCTGCTGAGATCTGTGTCCCAGCAAGCTTAGGGAAGTAGTAAGGGTTCTAATAATTGAAGGTGCGGGATCATATTTGGAAACATTGGTTAAATCAAAGAATTGCAGCAAAGGCACTCTTTTGGGAAATGATCAGCAGTACATGATCTGATGAGGCAGAACGTGCAAACATGAGCGTAAAACGACAGATGAAACCGGACGTTACAAGAATAACGAACAGTCAAAACTAAAATATCTGTATTAAAACACACAAAACATTTCAACGAAGGCAATTAAAATGGTAGTTTAAATGGAAATAAACAAGTATAATCAGATAGTCATTGCAGACGCCAAGCTACCACACCTCGTTATTTTAAATTAGAAGGTTGGACTCACTGAGAGCTTGCATTGGACGTTTGTGCAAAAACCTTTTGTTTTGTCTCTGTGGTGCAATTGGCCGTCTAAAAGTTTGGTGATATAAGATATTCAAGGGACAAATCTTTCATTCTTTTCACCCCATCTGCAGTCTTTTCAGCGGAATTCCGGGTTCTCAATGGGTTCAAGAAGATATTCTCAAAATAAAGTTCTTAGTCAATGAGTAACCATAGAAGTGTTGATATATTTTCCCTTTGATGGAAGTCCACAGGAAAACTATCGATAAACTAGCTGCTCCGTGTACTTAGATCTACCACTGAGAAATCTACGAAGTGATTGAATTCATACAAACCCATCAATGGTTCTCTCTCCATCAACTCACATTTAAGGAGAACAGGAAAAGCAGAAAAGTGAGATTATAGCCCGCTCACTGAAACTCCAAACTTATTTGCACAATCAAGGAGGGAATGAGTCACAAATAAATGTCATGCCAACTTCTTGACACTTATGCCAGCAACGTTCCTTCATTTGTTTGAAAAGTTGATGTTGTGAATCTGCAAATGAGTTCCATGGGACTTGCATCAGTGAGTGATTTGTGTGCTGCTTTTCATCCATCAGGTTGGTAATTCTCTTTATGTTGGGTGTTGAAGCGAATCTGATTTCAGAATGAGGACAGAGAGCGGGTCAACATGAAATCTAGGAGCACATGCTGAGAACACTGAATGCCAACCTTTAGGGGGAGGTGCAGGTAAAATGCGATTGGATGCATTTCCATAATTTTCTGTTAGAAGTAAGGCCTCCTTCGGAAAATATGGGAATGATTTAAACACCTATAACAAGTAGGCCTGGAAATGGATATCTATTTCAAAATTTAATATTGAGACTGCGACTACAGAACATCATGAATTGTCTATGCAACCAGTGATCGAAGAAAAGGGAGAAAGTTTGCAAATTACACTTCAGCTGAGAAGCAGTTCCACCTACACCTCCGGTCATATACATAATCCAGTGCACCACTGGAGCAGCTCTGACATGCTGCCCTTGACTCATGTCGTGCAGAATTGTGGTGTTAGCAATTTTGGATATCCTTTTCATACGTGAAAGATCTGTGCCTCTTTCGAATTTTCCACCCCATAGGTGTGTGGATACTTGGTGGATAATGAAGTCTTAAATGCAGACATTTAGGGTTCTAAATGAATGGAGGTCTGTCGGGATTGGGTGGAAAACTCATGTTGAGACTAATGTTATCCCAGGACCTAATGAGGTGAAATCAGGATCGAGGGCCCTGAAGTCCTGTTCTGATGTCCCATTGTAGTGGCGATAGCTGACCATTAGAGGGCACTTGAGTGATGCTATGGTCGAGCGTGGGGTTTCAGTTTCTGTCTCTTTGAAGTACAGTTGAAATATTGGACTCCATTTCAGGTATATCTTTGTGTCTTGTAGTGAGTAAGTGCTTTTCCAATGAACACAGGCATTTGCCTGGTTCTTTCTGATCAGAAGAACAAGGAGTACCAATGTCTCTCAAAGTGGTGAATGTGTTGATTTTTTTTTTTCAAACAAGTCCGCAGGGACACACCTGTGAAATACTTGTCAGCGCATCCGATATGAACACCGTTTGCACATGTTTCCTTGTCAGGACAGTGATCGAGTAGTTAAGGTAGTGTGTTTAGGACTCGATGAAATTGATCTCACCACGTCTGAATCTTATCTCCTATCTTAGTTTCTATCACTGACTTTAATGATGTTCAAGAATCGCCCAGAGTTTACAGTATAAAATTGAGCCCGTTTTCTCGTTTCAATTCATTCTCAGGGATCCAGAAATTGGCGGCCGCAAAGAGAAAAGAATCTCATACAGATAGGGGATATCCTTCTTCTCTGGGGGTCTGTCACTGTTCAGATCCTTCTCACTCTCGGAGATATCTCTGTTTTTCTTTGCGGGTGTCGAGATGATTCTAATCCCCATCGTAAAAAGAAACCCATACTTTAGCATGGAGTTTCATTGTAAAAACCAAAAGAGAAAATAAAACAGAAGACCTATGTATCAAATACGATTCTTCTCAGATGGTGACAGCTAATTTCTTTAACTCCCTCCCGCCATCTTCCTCCTGGCACAGTGTGATACCTCCACGTGTGATGGGAAACAATTACTGAATTTGGTAGAGCTGCTCTGCCTCTGTCTTTGTTGCGTTTAAAGCCAGGAATTCATGTTCATTTTTGAGTTTGTACAACAAGACCAAATCCCCATTTCCTGAGCAGGAATCGAAGCGATGCCATGGTGGTGAAAGAGCAAATTCACCATTAAGACAGCACCAGGGGAGGTTTTGGTCAGCCTTGCACATTGTTTTGCATAACAAAGAGTTTTTGCAGATCCAAAATTCCGGATCAGTCTCTTTGATTTGAATCGCAACGAACAGGCAGGAGCTGGACAAAAGAGAACAAGCAGAGGACAGAGAAAGAGGGAGAAACTTGGGAGTGGAGAAAGGAATGTGGATATGGATTTCAAAGTTCAGCCCAGAGATCAGGCAGCATGTGAGAGACAGGAATTTACTGATTTGGGGAAACAAAAGATGATAAGACACATGAATCATGTACAGTTTAGACAGGACAATATTATTCTCCTCGTGTCAACGTAAGGTTAACAAATGGCTTACTGAACTGCTGAGTCCTAAATGTTGGTTTAATGGAATTGATCGTAGCTAATTATTTTCAGGTGTATGAAGTTCGGTAACCTAAGGAACAAGATCAGGAGAATTGACAAAAGAAAACATACTTTATTTTAATCATTGAACATTATTATAATCTAGAATTTCCGATGTAAGTGGAGGTAGAGTCAATGCTAACTTTCAGAATGGTATTGCAAAGACACTTAGAAAGAAATAAAATTTGCAGAGCTACCGAATGTGGAAAGAGCTCCGGTTCTGAAATTAATTACATGGATGTTTCAAAGAGCAGGCACAGACACAATGGGCCGAAAAGTTTCAATCTGTATTATACAATTCGTGACCTTTTATTCCCTCCCCCTCTATTTGTTCCTCAGTGTTTCTGTTGCTGAGGGGGCAATGGGGTCACAGACTTCTCAACATCCACCAGATCCGGATGCAGCTGAGTGTTGTCGCACTTTTTCTGTTCTCACACAGCGTAATGCGTTCACTCAGAGCCGAGTCCGAGTTTGTTCCTCTCTCAGCTTCAGTTTGTTGCTGTGGCTTTGACACACTTTCCTTTGCCTTTTGTTATTTGAGAGATCTCAGCAGCCTTCACTGTTAGTCATTGAGTGGAACAGCTCTTAACAGAGACCTCGGATAGACGTTTTTTTCCAGACTGTTGAATTACAAACACAGGGTGCACCATGAGGAATATTCTCACACCGCTCCTCATCATTATCACGCTTTTCAGTAAGTGTTTCCTTCCCCGTAACATCCCATTTCCCCGACATAGATGTTTGCAACAAAATGTTATTATTCATTAAGCAGTTACGGGAATGACAATTTTGCATTTTGTTTCTTTTTGGTTAGAATGGAGCCAGCAAGACAAAGTGGAACAGCCTGATTCTGAAATGACGGTTAAAGAGAGCAGCAATGTCACACTAACCTGCAGCTTGAAGACAAGCGATCTCAGCCCTTATGTCTACTGGTACAATCAGCTGCCGGGGCAGCCTCCACAGTACATGGTTTATATGGTGACAGCAGGGTCTGAAAACAGAAATCCAGATTTGTCTGACAGAGTCTCTTTCACATTTAATAAATCCACGAAGATTACTGAGTTAGCAATCCACAAGACCATCTTCTCTGACTCCGCCATGTATTTCTGTGCTATGAAGCCCACACTGATGAAAAGTTATGGCACAGCCCCGACAAAAACTCACTGAGAGTGTCAGTTAGAGTTCACCAGAAGGGGCTTTGATGCAGAGGAACAGGAAAAAACAATTCAGCTCGAGAGAATGAGTCACAGAGCAGAGTCTTAACGTGAGGAAAACAGATATAATTTTGAAAATGCTTCCGACTTTGCCTAAAACGAACTAATCCAGTATCTACAATTCTCATCCCTCCAGTCAGTGACTTTTATTCATATCCATGGAATTTTCATTTCACTGGGGGTCCTCAAACATTTTTTTTTAAATGTAAAATCTGCTGTTTGTTGCGTTAAGTCAGAAATGCCTGCTTCCCATTTACAGAAGTGGCAGATGAGTAGCGACAAGCAGTGAAATGTCTCACTTCTTTGTCCGTGGATGAGAGAGAATTCATCAGAACAAGCACCAGAGACCGCAAGCTCAGACTTCTGTCTGGATTAAGTGTCATTTCTGCAATAACTCTCTGAAATACTGATTGAGTGAAAGTTTCAAATTTGAAATCCAGAATGGGCTCTTTTGGACATCCAAAAATAATCATCTTTTAAATTAAAATATTGAAAGCAATGTGCTAAACACGAGCTGCAACTCAGGGTTTGAATGAGGATTTGTGGCTTGGGTTCTGGTTGTAGATTTTGGCCTGTTCGCCGAGCTAGGAGATTTGGTGGCAGACATTTCGTCCCCTCACCAGGTGACATACTCAGTGTTGTGGAGCCTCCTGTGAAGCATTGTTGTCTTGTGCCGGATCGAATTTACACGGTCTGGTTTTAGCTGCGTTCGTTCGGTGTCAGTTCTGGCCGTGCATTGTAATGGTTAGTGTACGCCGGCAGCTTCATTCACAAAGGCTTCGCCAACAGACAACACAAACAGGACACATCAAAACTCAAAACAATAACCAGCATACCATACATTAGGAAACAAAACACCTCAGAACTGGCAGCCAGAGAACTCAGAGTGCTGGCAATAACGACAGCACAGAAACCAACAGCCACACTAAGATAGCAACCGAACAGAGTTAAAGAGCTAATGTATATCATGGACAGGACTATCGTGGTCTGGAGATACCATGCCGAGACTGCAGAAAACACTACGCGGGACAAGCAGGGAAACAAACAGCAACCGGCATCCATGAACACCAGTGAGCAACTAAACGACACGACGAGATGTCCTCAGTTTCAATACACACAGACGAGAAAAAACACACTTTCAACTGGGACAACACTACTATCATTGGGCACGCCAAAGGGAGGACATCCAGAGAATTCTTGGAGGTTTGGATATCATCCACCGACTCCATCAACAAACACATTGAATTAGACCCGATATAGCGACCATTTCAACGCACAGCCCGAACCGGCATGCACCAAAAGCAGCAAAAACCAGACCGTATAAACTCGAACTGGCACAAGACAACGGCGCTTCACAGGAGGTTCCAGAGCACTGAGGATGTCTCCCAGTAAGTGGACGAAATGTCTGCTATCAAACCTCCCTGCTCGGCAAACACACTAATATTTACATCGAGCTGGAACATTTTGTCTTAATGTTTTGTCAAAATGCATGCTTTCAAGTAAATAATCTGGTTACATATTAAAAATAAGACATCGGGCCAGAAGTCATCTACATAGATTCCTTCATTTCAAATCAGCATGTTGATATTTCAGTCTTCCAATTAAATAGAATATCTGAGCTAACATAATTGTGGAATTTACCAGATAATATAAACGAAGAGGTGACGATTAAGTAAAACAGATCAAAATATAAAATGCTGGAAATCACAGTGGAGCAGGCAACAGTCGTGGAGAGAGAGCAAGCTGAAGTTTCAAGTCGATGTGACCCTTCATCATAGATTGTAAAAAGTAAAAAGTATACCCCGACATATTTACTCAGACAGATTTGAAGAGAAACGTGTTGTGCCTGAAATAGCTGTTTGTCAAGACTTAGGAAGATGTAACTGATCTCCCTGTTTCCGCTGGCAGAGACTCAAAGCAATATCCAACCAGCTAACTAATCAGCTGATCAGCAATCTAAACAGCTAATAGAGTGAAATTGAAATCGGTGTTGAAATTGATACTGAACTTGAAATTTGGAATTATTTTTCCTGTCCTCATTCATGTAAGGTGGAAACCTTCAACATTGCCCTTTCAGAGCACAGTTTCGATTGTTCTTTCACAACGGGAACTTCATACCGTGTAACCACTAGATTTGCCATTGAAACGGATTTGGTTTGAGAAGTTTGAGCAGTTAATGTCTGAGATTGTACTGCTGCTTGGAATGCACCGAGGTGCAGGAAGAGATGTACAATGCCTTCGCTGCATGGTTAATAGGGAATATGTCTTACAATTATCAATAAAATTGGCAATGCATTGAGAATCTGGACAGTACCATATGAAAGAATGTATTTGATTTCACTCTAGCTCTAGATATTCTTAGCAGATGCTGCTGGCTGTGCAGAGGGCTCGCATTGTCTTGATTCAGTGATTGTTGCCTGTATGGAGAAACTGCACTTTTGAGTTTTTCCATCAGAGCAGATGAATGTACTCTGATTCATTAATATGAGTCTCCGAAGAAGGGTTCTTTTCGCGCATACGGAGCCTGCATTCAAGTCTCACCTCTTCTGAGGGTGCGTGACCAGGTCTCTGAAAAGTTGTTTAGAAAATTTCTACAATGACTATAGTGCCCAATAAGTTGTACCAGTGATCATGAACGAAACGTATATCTGTTTATTTCAGCGAAGAAGCTGTCTTATTGTCTGCTCTCTTAATGTTGGCGACAGTCGAGGATAGGGCATTGTCACGATGCACCTGTTTCCTTGGGACGATGTGTCATAGATTCACAATAACTTTGCAATTTAAAGCAAGTTGTTGTTCGGCCATTTATAGTTTGTACAAATATCTGAACATTCAGAATATTATCAAACTGAGTGCTGAATTAAGGTTTCCATGTGTCATTGTGTGAAGCCTGCCCCTATTCTGGATTACTATTTAAACATCAGAAAAGTGTCAATGCACGTGTGAAATATTTTTGAGCTTTTGTGTTTCAGAGGTGTTGTGTCCAGGATATTAGCTTTTATCTGTGCTGTGCCTCATTGGACAGTAATAGCCCGCCATAACTGCCACGCCCAAGACTGTTTATATTGAGATAACCGCACTTATTACAGTTGTCAGCAGCTGCCATATATATGGTCCTGAAACGTAATGACAAGAATTATTAATGTCAAGGGAGTCTAGTTCAATAGCGATATGTGGAAGAATTCATTGTATTTGAGGTTCATCATTACTTGGGATTGTCTTTTCCGGATAATAAAACGTTCCAATACATGATAGCTAGTTAATGGGAGAACGAAACTGAATATCTGAAAATGTGAGAACGAGCAAGACGGTGAGGAAGACTTACAAACAGTTGGGGAATAGATTGCAGACAGCTGACTGTGTTGAATCTGAGAAACCAGCCAATTACAACTGTTACCAATCAATGGCCAAACTTAAGGATTGACACATTTTAGAACCCGAATACGAGTTAATGTCCATTTCTTTATTTTGTTATATCACATGGAACAGTCAGTTTATGTCAATAAAGTTGTGCTCTTAACGGGAAAGGGAATCAGAGATTATGCAGGAGGGTGGATGTATCACAGATCACAAATGATCATATTAAATGGCAGAGCAAGTTTAAGGGGCCAAATGGCCTTCTGAACGTCCCATTCTGTGTTTCTGCGGCTAATTCTCTGACGTTATTGACTTCAGAACAAAGAGCTGGTGAGCTGATTTTATACAGAATGCAACACAGAAAAAAAGATCTTTGGAAAAGCTGACCTTTCTAAGTTTTGAAGGCATTTACAAATCAAAATGGAGATTACTGATCCGGCTCAGTGAGTGGGTGTGCTAAGAGTCTCTGTTGGTTTTTATTTTACCGGCTGACTGCGTCTGTGTCACAGTAATGCGTGGTAGAGACAAAGACAAGACCCCCGGCGATATTTACTGGAACTGTTTCTGGTCTTGGTCCAACTTAGTGCAAAACCGGTCAGAAAACCCCAGAAACATACTTCCCTTTCCCTTGCCGAATTTCCTCAATAAATATCTCAGAGTTTCCCCGGGATATTGAATGCACCAGAAGAAAAGTAGGTTCACTGTATTTTGTCGTGAAGATGCAATTCAGTTTTAGCGACTGTCATTCATGAACTTTCAACTGAAATGGATCTTAGGAAACTGAATCTTGGCTACACGTTCCTGTAACAAACATTATCAAAAATATATGTGATTAAAAAACAATGAAACACATAAACATCTGAAAAATATTTTACATGTACATTGACACTTTTCTGATGATTAAATAGCAATCCAGAACAGGGGCAGGCTTCACACCCTGGCACATGGCAACCTTAATTCAGTGCTCAGTTTGATAATATTCTGAATGTTCAGATATTTGTATAAGCTATAAATGGCCGAACAACACAGTGCTTTAAATTGCGAAGCTGTTGTGAATCTATGACACATCGTCCCAAGGAAACAGGTGCATCGTGACAATGCCCTATCCTCGACTGTCACCAACATTAAGAAAGTAGACAATAAGACAGTTTCTTTGCTGAAATAAACAGATATACGTTTCGTCCCTGATCACTGGTACTGCCTATTGGGCACTATATTCATTGTAGAAATTTTCTAAACAACTTTTCAGAGACCTGGTCACGCACCCTCAGAAGAGGTGAGACTTGAATGCAGGCTCCGTATGCGCGAAAAGAACCCTTCTTCGGAGACGCATATTAGTGAATCAGAGTACATTCATCTGCTCTGATGGAAAAACTCAAAAGTGCAGTTTCTCCATACAGGCAGCAATCACTGAATCAGGACAATGCGGTCCCTCTGCACAGCCAGCAGCATCTGCTAAGAATATCTAGAGCTAGAGTGAAATCAAATACATTCTTTCATATGGTACTGTCCAGATTCTTAATGCATTGCCAATTTTGTTGATAATTGTAAGACATATTCCCTATTAACCATGCAGCGAAGGCATTGTATATCTCT